CAGAGCAGCGGCTTGGCCGCCAGCGCTCCCACGCCCCGGGGAGCTAACACGGCGTGTTCCAAAGCTTGTGCTGCAGTTAAGCGATTACATGGAAACCAGGTAAAATCCTCAATAACTTCTGAGGTTAGATCTTGATTTTTCACTTCTACACTGACGAGATACGAAGTGGAGCCTTGCTCCACTAAGGCACTCCACTGTCTTTAAACCAGCAGGAAGCACCAACCAAAGCGCAGCATTAACTTCGGACCTGACCCGAAAGCAGCGCAGTCCTGTAACCAGTGCACTCTTTGCCTCTTCCTCCCGCTCCTCAAGTACTGTCTTGCCACAGTTCATCACGTCAGAGTGTGCTGGCTCCTTCTGTGTGCCGTCAAAGTCACCAAAGAAAAAAAAAAACCAACCCCAAATGGAAAAAAAAAAAAAAATTAAAGCTCTCCAAGATGCCTACAGGAAGAAGGAAAACACAGGTGCTGAAGCTGAACGCAGCATCAGCTTTTCATTTTTTTGAAAGGTACAGATTTTGCATAGTAACAAACATACGGAGTTGCTAAAAGTGGTACCAGGATCTGAGTGATGTTGTTTTCAGGAGCTCAAGGCTGCTGCGACAGTGAAACCCTCAGTCGCTGCACTGGAAGAAGCGGTCAGCATTCTGGTGGGGACTGCAGCTGGAAAGACAAATCAGTAGTTATTGATGTCGGGTAATTTTTAAAATCCACCTCCCATGATCTGCGAATCAACTGCTTCATCACTCATGCAGTGCAAAGAGGAAAAGCCCCGGACAGCAGCCTCCGCCTGCGTCGCACCGGGGCAGGGAGAGCAGAGCGCGCGGGCTGCCCAGCGCTGCCCACCCCGGGACCTGCACCAGGCAGGAAGGTCTTCACCACGGGCCGGCAGAGATGCTCATCAGACCTGCAAGGCAAGGACAGCGCTGAGGAGCGGCACCAGGCTGGAGGACAGGAGCTGCGCACCAGCCCTGGTGCTGCTCTGCCAGGGCTGCACCCCCAGGTTCAGAGGCGGTGCTGGGGCAAACGCCACCACGCACTGGCACGTTGGTGCATCGTGGTATCACCGTCCCCAAGAGGCCCACCTCCCTGGACCTCCCAGCAGTTCGGCTGGCACAGAGCAGGCGGACCCTGCGAGCAGACGTCCCAAGCCCCTTGGAAGATCCCTCGTGCAGACTCCACACAGCTCTCCACCACGCCGGATCCGGAGGCAGCGAGACAAGTCCGTAACCAGGGTGAAACTGCACTTGCCACAGAGGTCCCAGCTTCTTCTCCACGAGTAGCAGAGGTCCCTCCTGCCACCTCTCTTCCACTGTGACGGCTGAGACTGACGTAAGCCACGCGTGGCTGCGCTCCGCTTTGCCTGGTGTGCTTCAGCTTGTGTCTCGGCATAGTTTCTTGGTTCAGGCACTAGAAGTGTGGCAGGTTTTTTCCTTCCAACTGGGGATAAAGCAAATGTGCTATTCCCAGGCGAGTGCATCAGTCACAGCACATCATTAACTCTACATTCAATAAAATGCTTACTTTTCCCACACAAATCTTAGCTTTAAAATGTATTCTGTGTTTGAGAAAGATGTCACTTCTCTCTGTACAAACAGAACAGCACCTCTAACATCTTGGTTTCCCTTCTCCAATGCCAACTACTATGCCAAGGCTGATCTTTTCACACAGCAGACATTTCGCCCTGCAGGGAAGAGAACTCCTCATTGTCCCTCCCTATCAAATTAGTCTAATCCAGGTAAATAAAAAAAATCTAGAAGAATTAATACAGATTTTTTCATGGAAAATTCCAGCACAGAAGGCCCACGAGGAAAGCTACAGGCAAGTGGGAGGAAGCCAGGCAGTGCCTCTGCTGCAGCAGCGCTGCTGTGAGCCGCTGGCCTCGGGCTGCTTTAGGCAGCCGTCCCCAGGACACCTGTCAAAGCGCAACGTATTCCTAACCAACGATAAACACGCATTCTGCCCATGAAAAAGAGAAATCCAAACAAAAAGCAACAACCTCGCCCAGCCAATCTGAAGTCCCTCTGTGTTCTGCCTGGCCTTCCTCCTGTATCTGGCAGGGGGTCACAGCCACCAGCGGGACCGCTGAACCCGACAGGCAGTGCTACCCATGTGCCCAGGCATCGTTCCGCTTGTTTAATTCTGGGCAGGGCCTCCTCTTAGCAAGGCTCGGATACACAGCCAGGCACTGTTCGAATAACAGCACCCCAGTATGGATATATCGGCTGTGCACAGTGCAAATCCACCAGACACATGAATAATTCAACTATGGAACTGCTTGTGCTATCTCCATAGTAATAAATGCAGCGACGCCCTTAATGCAGCAGATTATGTATAAGCATTCCAAATCTCTTTAGAAGATTAGATTTTACAGGGGTACTAGAGGAACATCGATTAATAAACATGCTGGAAACGCAGCGTGGGAGGTGGGGGTGTTATCTTCACATACACCACTTGGAAACTCTGCCCCACCGCCCAAGCCTTGACACCTCGAGGGGAAAAGCAGCAACAAATTTCTTCCCATGACTGTCCAGACAGGTGCAAACAAGGTCAACCACCACAGACAGCCCCTCAGTGGCTACCACCGAGGCTTCCCTCCTCTGCTCCCAGGCGCACCTCTCGCTAGTTCCCAAGAGCACTGCTCAGAACACTGCTGTTTCTGAAAGCACGGATCGGGACTATCCTCAGTAGCATCCATACATTAGAAAAGCACAGTGCTGAATGACTTCTCCCTAAGTCAAGCGATAAGAAAACGCCAAGAAATGACTTATTTTCCACTCATTTCTCTTGACGCAAGTTTGCCAAATAGTCACCTAATTCAAAAAAGTTAGTTAACATTTTAAATAGTTCAGTCAAATCCTGGACCAAAAATACTTCATTACCAGGGCACGAATGTGAATTTTGTTTAAAATAATCCCTGGGTGTTTTGATATGCAAAAGGAAGTTCCTAGCAGCAGCACCAGTGAAAATGACCTTATTTAGCACATCGATGAGTGCCTGGGAGTCCTCGCACTGGACAGACTTCTTTACCCTCCCAGTAGCTTGCTTGGATAATCTTCTTTACCTAACACAGGATAAACAGGATATTACTGGGGTCGTTTTATGGTTTGTGGTTTTAGCCATTAGTTGGTTATCCCTGCTTTACAGACAGGGAGAGCCAAGACTCCAGTTCTAATTCATGCTAAAACTCCTCTGCCAAGCCTGCACCCAGCCTCGGCAGAGGCCCGTGGCTGCCAGCGCCCAGCCGGGGACGAGCCCCCGCACAGCTTTTCCTGTGCTCTTTGCAGCACTGGATCTGCTCAGATTCTCATCAAGTATCATGCAGAGACCTAGCAACGGGTATCAACTCAATCTGCTCTGCAGAGCTGTTGCACCATGCAGTCTCTTAGCCCCATGCAGTGCCTACCCCGCAAACTCAGCTGTTTCTACACCAGAAACACAGAAAAGCAAGGCACACCACTTGGATGGAGTAGGACAAAGAAGACTGCGGCTGAGAAGGAAAAATACAGAGAAACAGGAGAACAGACTCCATCAGACTTAAAGCACAGGAGGGAATCTCAGAGAAATCTTTTAACCCAGAGAGGGAACCTGTCCGAATGGCTAATTGCTATCCAGGTCCTTGGATCACCTGGAGGATTTCAAGCCCATGAATAAAGGAGTTCTTTTCCAGGGATGAAAGGGCACTGCCACTTCCTAGTTACTCTTCCACTCGGCATAACAAATAAGATGAGAGTATCAAGTGGCACAGGCAGAGAAAACAGTTCTCTGGGTACAAAGCTGAACTATTCCCCATCAGGCCCAGGGATAACTCACCTCCTTCCGCAAGACACGCGCTGGGAGGTCTGCACGGACATGGCTGACGTCACGTCCGAGGAGAATACACCAGCTCCCTGCCGTACTATTTTGGGATCCAGTTCAGCACAGGAAAAACACACCCAGACAAACAACCGTTAACAGCCTCAGTAGCTCAGTGTTCCACCCAGTATTGACCTGGACCAATGCTACTCACCTGCAAGCACACGACTGGAGATGCCCACTGCTGCATTAGCATGCGTACCTCTGTTACTGAAGGCAGTAAGAGAACTAAAACACTCTGTCGTTTGACTTGAAAACATTCTATTTAATTTATACAAATAACTACTAAATAGAAAAAGTAGATTAAAACAAAATAGTTATTTTTCTGGCAGAGTTTAAATGCATATTATATAGCTTAGAAGAAATAAAATGCATTTTCCCCACAGCATTCATGACCTAAAATTCTAGTTAATTCTTCCATTGCTTTCCTGTTCTAGATCAGTAAGATACTAGAGACAACGTCATGTGGGTAATGGCTATATATATGTTCCGTATTTGAACTGAAAATATGTTACAGACCACACACCTACAAATGTGAAGCACTTAAAATGTGACTATCGAGTTGCAATATGATAATACAGAAAACAATTTATGTTTCAGGTTATATTGTGTTACAAAAACATCTGTGTAAGAAATCATGAAAGAGGCCACATAAAAATAAGCTTTAACTTTATGCACTTATTTTACAGTTTAAAAAACTGGCAAGTGCACTAGTAATAAATAATTTGCAAGTTTTGTATAAACGAGAAATTCCTAATGTTCAGCATTATTGTAAACATCAGTACACATGTAAAATGCAGCTAAAATCTGACAGTTACATTTTCAGTTTACCAAATTAATTTCCTATTATTCAGGCATAGATCAATGCAGTATACAGCCAATCATATTTTTGGCAAGTCATGTCATTAAAATTAACAGTGACAGTGCAAGTAAGGAATGCAAAGAATTCCTAGTGCAATAAAGAAGAGAAGCACAGGCAATATTGCTGATTAAAATTTACCACTTCCATGTGTTCACCCTGGGAGTGATTAGGAGAATAAAAAAAAAAAAAAAAAAACCCACAAAAAGAAAAAGCTGTTCAAAGCCATTATTTAATGCCCTGATCTTGTCTTAGGATTTCTCTGTCTTCCTTCAGGCCACTACCTTTGCAACAGTACATCCAGCGCGAGTCCTGACAGCTTGACCGTTTGTGAAATGCCCACTGTAGTCACTGAGCAAAGTCCGTACGGTTCCGATGTCTCCCACAGAGATGGCTTGGTAAGAACTTCTGCCTCTCTAAGCAGCCAACATGGGGACCAGTCGTATAAACTGTCTGGCCAGACTACTTCTGAACCAGACAAATGCCTTCCCATGAGGAGAGAACCACGAGAAGGTGGTCAACAGTCAGCTTTCAGTTTATCTAAGGAATTATCAATTTTGGTCAAAGTCTTTTTGATTCGCAGGGCTGTTAGTCTCGCTGATGGATTTTGATACCAGCATTCTTTCATCAACTTGGCAAGAGATGTTAACGTCTGGGAAAAGAATAAAAGACATGAGACACGCATGTAAGTACATGAATCGCAAGCCAAGAAAGCACCAGACTGGGTTAAGCACTAACACAGTAAGGTATTATTGCTTTATTAATACTCAATTTTCAGAGAGTTTACTGCTATCTATCAAATACACAGCTTCCAAGTGCTGAACTTAAAAAACAAACCCAAGTTTGATGACTTGGTTAAACCAAGCGAATATCTAGACTACGGGCTGACTGGAGTGACAAGCCAGCGTAATTTTGAACAATGGAGTTTAGGGGTTTTTCTAATTAAGAAAACACTCTACAGAATCGCTTTTCAACAAAACTGACTCCTGCAAGATCAACGAAGGAAGCCAGAGAAGGTACAGATTTTCTGCCTGTTCTTTCCTCATATCCAGCACAACTTTAAACGGCTGGGATTCACGGCTGGCTGGTACAGCAGCACAGGTCATGGGTCTGCAACCAAAACTTTACAGCTGGGACTGCTCGTCCTTGCTGGCCCTAGCCAGCTGTACAGACTCAAACCAACCTTCACAGCTTCAGTAACACGGAACAAACCAGCTGGTCAACCTAGAGAGTCCAGACTGATTCTGATGAAGGAAAACAAACTTCAGCACTAGCCTTTCAAATACAAGAACAGTCCCTTATCCTGTAGGCAGGAGAGAGACCAAAAATCTATTCAAATCCACATGTTTATAAGCCACAGAACGTCCTACACAGGCCACCTTCCCCTTAAAGAAATCTCCCCTTGGAGAGAGAATAACAACGTAGGAAGCACAGCTTTAACATAGTTCTTGTTAAATCACGCTACTAAAAGGCTAATCTGTGAATAGCTCAGACTTCACCATCGTAAGTCTGCTCACTGCAGTTTCTTCCTGCTCCAACATAAAGGTCCACGCCAGCTTGCTTCTGAAATCTGTACAGGTAATGCTCCTGACAGGTAGCATTGAGACCATTTCAATTTCACGTGATAACTGAAAATAACTTCCTTGACTCTTTCGAAAGAAGAAAGGCCAGCTCGTATCTTCTGCAAACCACCCACAGGCACATCCACTTACAGGGTCTGAGAACCATCTGTTGGGAATGTTCGGCCTTTGCTGATCTACACAGACCACTTTTCTCATGTCTTCAAAACTGGGATCGTTTGGAACCAAGTCATAAAATGGTGGTTTATAGTCTTCCACAATACCTGGGAAGACACAAACAAGAGAGGCATTAGTTAATGACACTGTCAGTGAAACAGCATTTCTGCACAGAGAGCGAGAACACACGACCTAGACAGCTGAGAAGCACAAAAATCTTTCAAAAAAACTAACAGCACGCTGTCAAGCAGCCATTAAACAACAGAATAGCACTCAATATCATAGGAACAGCTTTCTCTACCCAAAATGCTAATTAATTGGCTGATATTACAATTGCACAGAGTAAAAACTATATCCATTTTGCAGACGCTTGAGCGGAAATGATGAGAAACAAATTCACTTGCCAAAACACCACCTTTTATAATGCCTGGAGGTTTTACTGACTACCACAAAACTGGGATTTCTGCTACCAAATTTAAAAAATTTAAGGTCTGCATTGTGGTTTTTAATAGGCTTACCACACACTTTTCACAGTTTTATGATTCCTGAAACAGTCCAATAAGCACGTCAGCACCTACAGACCCTCACACTGGTGCTTCAAATAATTGTATTTCTTGTCATTAAAATAATAAAATACCTTGGGTAATTGGCTCCACATGCCATCACAAAGCTAAACACCTGAAAGCCTGTGGCACTCGGTGTCTGAACGCATTTTCTAGGATTCTGTGTTGAAAAATGAGTTAATGTGTGCGTTCGTTCCCACGACTTGCCACTCAGCTTACACAAAACTGGCAGGCTAAACAGCCTTTTGCCTACTCTCTAAGGCATGCAGGCAGCGTTGCTGTTTCATCAGTGCATTAAGCTCACAACTGATCTATAGGGAGCTCGACTTTCTTAGGAAGCCAATTTAAAAACTGGTGTTCGAAAAAAGGCATTCGGGTCAGCAGCTTGGAAAAGCACCAAGCAAATGAGGCCCTCTACGTACAGTAGAAACACGAGCGGAACAATCTTAAAACTGCTTTTTAGCAGACAGGCAGCTGTCCCACAGTCAGACGTACATAAAATCCAGGAGATTTTCTGTTGCTTTGGATATATTCAAATTGAAAAGAGGTTCTCAAACTTTATGCTACAGCGTTGAGTTTTAGTTTCTTGTTCTGTTGGAGATGCCACAGATACTCTGTAAAATCCACACGCCCCTGTCTGTGATGACTAGTCATAAAGGGAACTGGTCTTCAGGAAACCACAACTCCCTTAGAAAACAGCAGGACAGCTCAAAGCTCCGGCTACCCAAGCGAGTCACCATAAAGTAACAAGCAGGTTGTCGGCTTTGCCCTGTGGTGTTCTGACACGGATGCAGAAGCACAGACTGTGTTACACGCTGCGTGAAGCAGCATCACCCACCCTCCTCCTCTGAGCATTTCCGAATTGCATATACCAAACATCACCCGCAGGGCTGAAGTCTTGTCTTTACACTCCTCCTGCTTCCTCCCAGAACACAGAATAAAGTTAATCGTGAGAACTCAAGAATACAAAAAACCTCTCGCATATCCACACTGTCTACACTTCCATCTCAGATATAGTAGTGGCTTTATACAAGTCAAATACAGAACTTCAGAGCTACGTCATACAGCTCTGAAAATGTTTCCAGGGGTATTAGGCTATTACAGATGAACTTTAACACTAGAAGAGGGAGTCTGGCTCTAATTTACTATTTTCATGCGGTCTTTCCAAAGTGTAGGGTACATAACCGGCTATTTCAGATCAGACATATAGCAATAAATGCGAATGAGGTGGGTTTGGCCTTTACCCCAGAGTGACTCCGGAGCTCTGCCCTGCCGCAGCCGAATGCCTGGCCCCCGGGGGCCGCTTTTTTTTTTCACCTATAATATATTACATTCCTTCCCCCTGCGGTTGCTGGCTCTTTGCTACTCAAACCAACTGGAACTCACACACACAGTAGTGTTTTCTCCACCTTTGTTCCTCGTTGCTTCAGCACCAGCCCGTCCTACACATGCACGAACCTAACTGCTGGAGCAAAGCAAGATCCACAGAAACACCTACACAACAGCCACAGCCTTGCAGATGTAACAGTGATCCCACCCGGGGGTGGCTTTGAGCGTGACTGTCTTTGCGCCTCTGGTGCTACTGCCAGCACCAGACAAGATCACAGTACTGGGTCCTGCAAGCACCAGGCATCGGGCAAGCAAGGATGCAAGGCACTGTGCAGCAAGGGAGCACAATCAAGAAGTCATGAACAGCCACTCTACAAGCACAGGTCTACTTAAAGAGAGTAAAATACTGATTTGCAGGCTTAAATCGCATTTTCAAGTACAAAGAGCCACCTGCTGAATGGCTCCTGCTGCAGCACAAAGACAATATGCAACTACACTGAGTTGTGGCAAAGGAGTTTCCTGTCACATTTTCCTCCCCGTACTGAACTCTGACAGGAAAGTACTGAGAATCACTGTGTCACCTTAAGGACCAGTAGGTAAGTAAAA